GTTTCACTTCAAATCGACCAGTTAATTTGAGCTTTGCTATAATGGACGAAAATTGCAAAATTACATATTTAATATTTAATTACCGATGAAATGCGATTCCGTTTGTTTTGTAATTAGATGTTTTGCTGTTTTTCCCACACCACCGAATAAAACAGCACGGCATTGTTAAAGATATTATCTTTATTACAATAAATATAGAATATTTTTTGGAATATACGGAGACGTACACACAGGTCAGTAGTTGACCAGTCTATATTTCAGTGCAAACGAGAGTTGATATTTATAAGAGCTGTATCGCTAATGTGTTACCAGGAACATATGGCCCTAATTTCGTCTCTATTTCTGGTTATATACTCGATGACTGTAATTAAGTAATTTTTTTATCGTTACACATTAAAAATATAGAACTAAATACAATACAATCAGAGGGAGGTATTATCGACAATATCTATATTACTTCTTTAAAGTTAAGGTAAATCTCCCAATCTCTGGTTATAACATTAAACTGTATAGGTAGTAGGGGTCTCTGAACCCGTCTGAATTGGAATAGATACAACGGCACGTCATGAACACTGGATATTCAACTCTATGACTCTTACGATAAGAACGATGCGCTCTTGGTTCTACCAAATTCGACCGCAAAGCAGCAATATTACGTTCCAGATTGAACGGTAGGCAGAGTCAAAGCAATTAAGCCGGGGTTTTTTTAAATAATAACTTTAACTTAAAACAATAACTTTTTAACTGAATGGCTCGCGTGTTTGAAACGGCTGTATAGTACATTTTGGTACAGTTGTCGTGAAAAGCAACTAGAGCATGGTTTCCCAAAGTGATCCCTACAAGTGGGCGCTGAAGAGTCCTAGAGGGGTGCTAGAGTCTCGGAAGCAATTGATATGCGTTGAAAAAACTGAATTATCTATATAAACTACACTACATACCGTCTCTGGAAAGGCGATATTACTAAACTCCAAAAGGCGAAAATGGCGCTTTAATACCTTCGCCTTTCCAGCGACGATATTTTTTATTCCTTGTGATTTTTTGTATTAAGTTAATATAAAAAAATACATTAATAGCCATTGCAATAAATATATAGCCACATAACCATAGAAAAAAGAACATGCGGTCTTATGGTTAACCAACAATTTGTTTCAAGTAACCTTTGATAACAGAAACCCGTTGATAATAATAATAACCTAACCTCCGGTTAAAAAAACCAACCTCAAAAGTCATTCATCCCCTAGTTTACCACCCTTAGAAGTGGAATATTTCCTTCAAATTTAAATGGGACCACTCCTGAGGTACCCTCTTTCCAACAGAAAAAGAATCATCAAAATCGGTTCACAAATGGCGGAGTTATCGCGTAACATACATACAAAAAAAAAAGAAAAAAAAAACATGCAGACGAATTGAGAACCTCCTCCCTTTCTTGAAGTCGGTTAAAAATAATCTTTTAAACAGTAACAGTCTTATAATAATAACAAATTAAAAGAGGTTTCACCTCGGCTGTAGTTCTTGGCCTTGTTTCACCTTGTCCATGTTACGTGAGTCATCCATGCTAACTGCTAATTAGCTGTCTAACTAACAATCTATTCAACTAATTGTGTTCATCATTTAATACCCATTATTATAACTTAACAAATGCAATGGATTTCCACAATAATAAAATTGACATGATGTACTTGGTGGCTCAACCTTGTTACACACTGTTGTTTCTATTTATAAACTGAAAAAAGAACTGTGAAAGTGCTATACTTTTATTAGTACCTCGAAACAAAAGAATAAGAACACGATCTTTGGAATTACATCTATTTGCCATTGACTTACAATTATATGGACGTCGGGTCCGCGCTAAAAAGTGTCCGAACTTATAGGGCGTTAAAATCGTATACAGAGCGTCATTCACGCTTTAGTCTTCGTTTGTTCGACTGACAGCGAAGCAAGCAAAATTAGACAGTACTGCGATGACATTACAATTTAAATTCAACGTTTTAGCTTTTTCATATTCCTTTACATGTCACTACGTTTAAATAGGTTGACTCGGGACATTTTTTCGTGGTTTTTGTATTAGACCCGTCGTCTATTTATTTGTAAGTCAATGCTATTTGCAATGTTTTTTAAATTGACATCGTTGAACCGAATTTACCCCTAATTTGCTACCCTTACAGGGTGAATATTTTCTTCAAATTCGTATGAGACCACTACTGAAGTATCCCATTTCTTACAATAAATGAATCATGGAAATCGCTACACAAATGGCGGAGATATCGAGTAACATAAAAAATACAGTTAACTCGAGAACATTCTCCTTTTTTGAAGTTGGTTAAAAACAGGTACCAACAAGGACGATCAAAGAATAATATTTTGAAAGAGATAAAAAACAAGTTTGCAAAGTACTGAATAGCACTTATTACACCAACAAAGAACCTACTTCTTGAATGTAAAATATTTTATGTAGCTTGTTTTATTTAACTTGCATCATGCATATTTTCTTTAGCTGGTATGAGCTGACAATTTAAACTAAGATCAAAAGTCAATACCAGTGCAAATGGACCAGGGTTCAACAGTAACTGGTTAACAGTAGGACCAATTCAGAAAATAAACTTTTTTTTAAATTGGTTTTGGTCTGTACATTCCAGTGAACTGAAGTTAATTGCCTTGCTCTGGTACTCATAGTAGAGGGCATTCCTTAGTTTGAGATCTGGTAATTGGTGTGGTAGTCTGGTACATTATTACTAATATTTTAAAAAGTTGGTCAAATACACCTACACGCCTTATGTGCATGGTGTCTCCGTTCAGAGAAGCCAGACAGAATGTGTATTGAATATTTTATTTGACCGTGACCGTGACCATGGGAACTGTAAAGAGCCCGAAACGTTGGTTTGTTTGAAAAAACAAATACACACGATTTAAATCTGGAATCAGTACAGAGTACTAAAAACCGACCTCAAAAGTACGTGGAATTACATACAATTACCAAGTTTTGTTGAAATCGGTTACCAGAAAGCACGCAAACCCGGATTCATCCCCTAGTTCGCCACTATACGGGACTTGACACAGGAGATAATAAAAATCGATTCTCAATACTCGAAGTATATTGAGAGAGAAAAACGCAAAAATTAAAGAATAGCAAAATCAACCATTAAAATAATTGCTCATTATACTAAAATTTTGGCGCTATTTATAAAAATGAATCTTCATGCGGGACAGCCACCCTTAGAGGTGAATGATTTTCTTCAAAATTAAATGGGACCACTATGGAGGTACCCTCTTTCCAACAAAAAAAGAATCATGAAAATTGGTTCACAAATACCGGAGTTATCGCGTAACATACATACAAAAAAAAACATAGAGTCGAATTGCGAACCTCCTCATTTTTTTGAAGTCGGTTAAAAATAGTTTCATTTCCTATATTTTATTTGAGTTTTGTTTAGCTGTTAAGCAGTAGCAAAGTAAAAAAATTGAATGAAAAATTGAAAAAAAATTGAACAGAATGTACAATCGGAATGTAAAAACGGGAAGGGCAATTTCTTAAGTTAAAATATTTTTTTATAATGCCAAAGGACGGGCCGAATAAGCCGTGGGTTTGGTGATAAGCGACACGCCTGTTCATAACAGTTGCAGTGACACTCAGAGCTTTAAACCTCAAAGAGCCTCCGCACTGCCACTGCACCTGTCACTCTGAGACATAAGTTTGTAAGTCGCGTGAGCCTGTAATTTCACCAACACACTTAGGTACCTTTCAGAACCGAAACGCAGTAATGCTTACATTACTGCTTGGCGGCAGAAATAGGTAAGGTTCTTATTCACCCCTGAAAAATTTATCTAACATGGAGTTTTATTAACACAAAGGTTTTATGATTTTAATACATATTTCGTACAAAAATCTAAGTTTTATTTTTTTGCATATAATCATCATTGTAGGCGACTGTACAATGGGAAATACACGATACCTACTTGATAATTGATATTAGAAACCAGTATTCAAAATCACAACTACAAACTGCACTTTGTAACTCTAGGTACATTTATGAACATGTAATTTATGTTAAGAACAGTAATTTTTTTAAGAAACGTAGTGAGAGACATAACATTTATATGAGGAATAAAAATAAACTGGCAGTTCTTGACTGGCGTTTTCACAAATTCAACTAAATGGCAATGTCTACGCTTCTATAGTAAAATTGAAGTTGACATTCCAAATTTGTCACTCACAAGATTTGAAACTATAATGAAACAAAAAAGTAAACTAAAGGTTGGTAAATTATTAAATATCAAGATTCAATACAAAAAAAATTCAATCGGATCAACATGACTTGAACCTGCGACCACGGTATTCCATCGCCATTGCTCGTCCAACTGAGCTACAGCTCGAGTTAACTGAGGTGAGAAAATTCTTCTATGTGTCTGTTATATCTTTGCATTGAGTTTTTGGCTTTCGACACCGTAAAATATATACATATACTAAAGATTATTATACAACTGCTGCATACTGGGATGATCAATGATATTTGGAATAAATAAATGTGTACAAATGTTTATTTACAAGAAGCAACCAATACAGTTTCTTGCTCATTGTTTTCAGGGGAATCTGCTTTACGAATAAGCAGTAGAATTTAATCAATAAGACAACTTTAAGTGTAACTTGCTCACACATGAAACAAAGATTATTTGACCTTTATTTTGACTAGGTAATTTAAGAAAACCAAGCTGCAGACACGTCGCCTAGTGCAATCTCAAAAGTACACAATAAATGTAGGAAATTTCACATTTAAAGAGAATCTCAACATAATATGCAGATCTTTTCCTTATCAGGGACCATCTTGTAACGGTTGCATTGTAATAATGTACCTAGAAATCACTTCCTTGTACCTATTAACATTTTATAGCTATTGCAAGGAATATTCATATTTGTCACTTTCATCATTCTCTCGTACATCTTATCTTAGACATTTTAAGCACTCCGAATACCTCTCATTTATTGATCGAAAAAAAAAACTTACCTCCTGAAGAGACATAATGGGTTTCGGCTAGATTCCACCTAAAACACAAATATACCAAATTCTACACAAAGTTACTTTAATTACAATCTAAATTCACCCTATACGACCGGCGTTACTTATAACAATACATTAATTATAACCTGAAGAGGTTAACTTGCGGTCAAAAAACCACACAATCATTAAATCTAAAAACCACGGTTTACACTACTCTAGAAGTTATATTTTTTACTTGTACAAACTGAAATAGCAAGAATATTGACTAAACTGCTTAATGTTAAAGGAATTTACTAAGTATCAAGTAGAACGCGTTAAAAACTTACTTTGTAAATAAGAACAACTGATCGTCACGGCAACTCGCTGCGGACTGAATGAAATCGGTTCGATGACGCGCTCCACGCGCTCCGAATAGTTCGAAACAGTTATCGCACTCTACTAAATCGACATTAGAACAACAATTGATAGAAAACTTAAAGAAACATTTAAATTCTAAACCGAATGAACAATATATAAGGTTAGCGGTAATGACAACACTGGACAACACTTTCTACATGTCAAATTGTTTTTTCAGCGACCTTTTGACACCGGATGTAGTGACGTTCAGCCTCATTGCAACGAGTTTCATGATTTTACATCATCTGGCGTAGACAATTATGTAGCTTTTAAACACGTCGTGATCATTATATTTATTTAGTATGGTATAGAAAAGCTAATTTGGCGATTGTTACGTTGTATATGTTAGGTTTTACACTTTAAGAAGTTTTTCTTAGACATTTAAAAGGAAGTGATAGCTAATTAATGAAGCTGCGTGCTTGATTGCGCATTATTTGAAAAATCTTATACAAAATCATGACTTCGTGGCTAAAGTTTACTAGGTAACTACAATTTAAACTGAAGTACTGCTATATGTTTAATAAGCCACATAATATGCGCAACATTAACAGGGAAATTTAATTAAAATAACTCATTTAAAAATACATTTGACAAGCGTGTCAAGAGGCTTATAGGTGACTCAGACTTAGTAGAGGTGAAAGCTTCAGATTCTTGGACACCGCCATAAAGTTGCCTGCTTCTCTCTGTATGCTATTGAACATATCACGGAGAGTGTGCGATGGAATTGAACAATTTAATTCCACCTTCCCCTTATCGTCACCGGGGGACTAGATGTAAGTTTGGGTTTCACCTCTATGTTGTGGATATTCCAAAGATTCGCACGAAGCGTTATGCTTACACATATAAATAGCGAACGGAGTGGGATTCCCTGCTTGAAGACTTCTTCCCTGAGCGCTATAATTTGGGCCTTTTGAAGGCGAGAGAGAATAGGCATTCTTTAGGTGTGCATGCTCCATTGTCGTCCTCATCGGATGGAAAGTGTTCCATCAGATGAGATGGAGGTCAAATTCGCATTCAAATGCGCACCAAACGCACAGGACAATTTTGACAACTCGGTAACTGGACCCGTGGCTCAGATGGTTAGAGAAATGTTACGTTGCAGCGTGATCGTGGGTTCAAGTCCCACCGGATCGACGAAAATTTTTCTATGTTCGATCTTTGTACATGATATGTCATGATCAGTACAATATAGTTCTAAAACCTTCATCGACTAATTCTAGTCCAAAAGTTGACTGTTAAATGTAATAATATCACACGGTGACTTACCGCAAAGCGACTTACCAATTTTCGCAACATTTCATTAATCTACAACATGATAAGATACCTTTATACAAATAACAACGTAGTTCTTTGATTTTTTACCGAATTCAATAAGGAATGTACATTTAGCGTAGCGTAATTGATTTGAAAATAATGCTTAATTTCCTATAGTTTTTTTTTCTTATAGTATTTAAAAATAGTCTACTAGGTATTACTTACAGCTGTTTCAGTTATCATGTAAGTTTTGATTGCATTTAAGAAAATAATTTAGTGTTAGCACTTAGTAGTTTAGTAACAGTAGAGCTCCGTGTGAAAGAGTTCGTCCTGGGTAGTACTGCCACCTTACCTATTTCTGCCACCAAGCTGTAATGTCAGCATTACTGTGTTCCGGTTTTGAAGGGTAAGCGTGCTGGTGAAACTACAGGCACATGGGACTTGTCAACTTACGTCTCAGGGTGACGGGCGCAGTGGCAGTGCCCCTCAGATCTTTGAAATTTAAAGCTCTGAGTGGCACTGTAATTGTCATGGACAAGCATGTAGCTTACCACCAGGCGCACGACTTTTTCGCCCCGTCACATGATGTTATTAAAAAAAAACTTTGTTCACGTACTTTTCCTGCAGTATGCTCAAGTACTGTATTTTTTTAAATAATAATAGTTAGCCCATATAGGCTACTTGCCACAGGCCTCCTCTCATAATGAGAGAGCTTGGTGTAGTTTTCATGCGGGCCCAATGCGTATTGAGAACTTCACTCACGTCATTAAAATTGCTTAGCAGATGTGTGCAGGTTTCCGTACAATATTTTCCTTCAGCTTTTGGGAAGCGGTAGGATAAACCGTTAAGGTACCACAGCTTATTTTATTTAATAAGTAACAGATACAAAATTGCTCGTATCTTTCGTGTAAACACTCAAACACTTAGTCAGAGATTTCTAATACAAACTTTGACTTTTCGTATTTAAAAAACTAACTTTGCCTTACTTTAAGCACAAAATTTAAACTTTGAATTTACTTCGTAATTCCTTGTTTAAACTTTGGCGAAGTTCGTTTCGTAAATACGAAAAACTTGTCTTGATAGTCACAGTCAAAGGTTGTTTTATAAATAAGACTTTAACTGCAGCGAAAGTAACAGGTGAAGAAACCTGTTGCTCACATTTGCTGCGAAGGTACGCCCTGAAACCTAATTCTTATCAAAACTTCAATTACAGCAACAGGTAAAAAAACAAAATAAAATAATTTAAATATTGATTTTTTTTAATTTTGCATGAGAACCAAATAAATAAATAAGCACTTAATTAACAAATACGTTAATATATAATTACGAATCTAACTATAATTTACGCATATTTCGACTGGAGCTTCTGCGCCATTTCTATGTACTGCTTCTTGGCGTCATCCTGGGACATGCCTTTGCGGTCAACCCAGGCCTTGTACTTCGCCTTCTCTACAATGCCGGAGGGTTCAGCTGGAACAATATAACAACATGCAAATTAATGAGTTTATATCCACAAATTTAATTGCCTCCATCGCCGAGCGATTACCATGCTGGACTGCAACGCAGACTAACAACATCATGAAGTGTACTCACTCGTACTAGTTGATATGTAAATGGTGCTGGGTCGTGGAAAAATTTCCTTTTTTGAAAAAAAATCATATTTTTCAAAAAAATAAATATTTTTCCGGATATTTTTCCAATATTTTCATGTCAAAATGTCAAGTTACCGAAAATTAAAAAAAAAGATAGAGCCATTTATAAAGTTTTTTTTCCCTGTCATTTTAATCTCATTTTTCTATGTGGTTTTTAGCTATACGAGTTTATTTTATAATTCACGCTAAATAAAACTTCAAAACATATTTCTAAACGTAATATGAGTCTATAATATAAGTCTTCGAAATTATATTTTTCCAACTTTTCGGGATTTTTTCCGGAAAAATTTACACTATTTCAAATTTTTTGGAAAATTACCTAACAGTATATGTAAATATTACTCTCTGTCTTTGTCTACAAAGTGAGGGTGTCGTCCTCTCTGAGGGATGTTCCGAAGTCTTCTGATAGACTACGCTCTCGCAAAAGGAAACCATAGCCTCCCTGCACCTTCGCTGCCGCAGCGACCACGACAGTTGGCAGCGAGAGATCTCCTCCCACTATCGCAATAGGGAGTACCTACAGCTGAGACCCCCAAGCCGCCCTGTACTGTAAGCGGTGCGCCACACTCGTGGCAGACGGGAGTCGCCTCCCGACCCACCACGTGACGCAATGTTTCCATACCCAGTGGGCACCTGTTCCTACCTCAAGTATAGAGTCCCATATCTCAGATCAACCGAGCGAACTAGGTGGGGGCAGATCGCCACCACAGTCGCTAAGCCAGCGACTGGGGACTCTATGTCCTCCGCCCATCTACGGATCAAGTCGGCGCGGCCCGCTGCCCTGATCCGCTTTGTCTCCTCGACATCAGGAATTCCCCTCTGCCTCGTATAATTACTCGGTACCGGTACATTTCCGCCAGCACTACCGCCTGCATTTCCCACATGGGATCACTCACGAGAAGTGTGGCCGCTGTCCAAAATACAGTGTATAATGAGATCCCCATACTAACTGGGAAAAGATCTGATCAGATGAACAGTTTTTAGATTAGTGTAGAGCTACTATGCCATATCTACACATAGATAGATTCAAAGACAAAGGTTCACCTGTTTTTGTTTAAAAAAGTAAGGAACACAATTAATGAGCTAGCGTGAGTGAAACGCACGGATTGCAATTCCAACGGGGGAAGTAAAAACCATAAACAATAGAAAAGCAAATCATTGATATCAAGGCGAGATCTCAAATGTTTGCCTACTACAATGTATGGAAGACTGGAGACATATTTAAGTCCATAATATATAATATGTAGTTATTAAAAGAAGAGCAGAACTAAGTAATACTTTTTTTTCATTTAATCGTTTATCAAAATTAAGTACCATAAATTATAGAACATATATCTATACACTCGTGCTGAAATAGATAAGTTCGTCGTCCTGTTTCTTATCATTAGAATATAATATTATAATATAATTTTACCGATTATCGCTGACGTAAATACAAGCTTACATAATCTCTTAATCGTATTGAAGGATATGTTTTGTAATTTCTCGAAAATTACAACTATATATTATTATTATCTTAAGAAATGCTGCTAAAAATTAATTATTTTTATACCGAGTTCTTAGGTTTTCGCGATTGTTACACATGGGAAATGAAACTATTTTTCCGGATTTAAATCGCGTTTATTTATTTTTTCAAACAAACCAATGTTTCGGTACCTGTAAAGGACTTGTGGTTTATTTGAAAATATTAATATACGCAATTTAAATCCGGAAAAATAGTTTCATTTCCTATAATTATTTTTATGTTCAAAAGTTATTATTGTTACTATGAAGCATTATATAAAACTTTAAAAAAATAATGTATCAGACAACCACTTTAAATACTGGTCCCAAAATAGAGAACTCGCTGTACTATAAATACCAGAGCACAGAAAGAAATTTGCTTCAAGGCACTAACCAAAACATACTTCCCAGAACAACTTTAGAAAACATTTTTTCTCAAAGTGTCTCTAATATCGCTACCTCCAATGAACACTACTACACTACATAGGAGAAATTCGACAATTCGATAACTTAACCTGTAGCTCAGTTGGTTAGAGCAGCGCTACGGTACAGCGTGATCATAGGTTCAAATCCCATCGGGTCGAAGCAGTTTTTCTGTGCGTTCGATCTTTGTTTTAATAATCATAGCAAATAAAACTATTTTTTCGGATTTAAATGGCGTAGTTGGTAAATTTGTTTTTTGTAACAAATCTTCTTTTTGTTAGATAATTTAAAACTTCATTTTTGGTAACAAGAACACACTGTACAAATACATCTAGATGTTGCCGACCGTACACATGGACGCGCTCTGTAAAACACAGACCGATTAAATTGTGAAAGTAACTTTGAAACTTGTCCACAGTTCATTTTCAAACATTAAGTACTGTAGTACGCTGTCCTCTTTGTCATGACTAACGCACTTGCATTACGGTGACTTTCGAGATATTGTCATAAAGGTTTATCATCACCTTAAACATTTTGCCTAACAGCAAAACTGGAACTAAAAGAGATATATCAAAAAACACTTATAGGGTCAACACCCTATTATATGATGCTGTATATTACCCAAATAAATAAAAATAAAATAAAAAATAAATATGTCTATTGCAGATCATACTCATAACGAAATAAAAATTTAGAAAAAATAATAATTTTTTCATTGAAATGTACGTATTTATTAGTCGTTATTCATCATCGAGTATATAACCAGAAATAGAGACGAAATGTCATTTAATTTGTTTGAAAACTGTTCTACCATATCATTACGGTGACAACTGCGCTCCGATTGCCCAGCCCGAACTCGAAACAATTGACGGGTGTCGTCAATAAATTTCTTTCACTCCAAACCGACCAGTTTAACTTGAACTTTGCTATAATGGACGAAAATTGATAAATTACATATGTAACATTTAATTACCGATTAAATGTGATTCCGTTTGTTTTGTAATTAGATGTTTTGCTGTTTTTCCCACACCACCGAATGGAATATCCCCCCCATAGTTAGAGACATTATCTTTATTACAATAAATACAGAATATTTTTCGAATATACGGAGAAGTACGTAAGTAAGTAGCTTTCGAATTTGTGATTTCAGTGCAAACGTGTGTTGATATTTAAAAGGGATATAAGGCCCATTTGCCTGATGAGTAGCCAGGATGAATGGTCCTTATTTCGTCTCTATTTCGAGGCGAAGCGAAGTTGAGTTATTAACATGTCTGGGATGAGCAAAATGAGATCTACAACACCTACGTAATAAAGTACCTACATTACTAACTACTTAAATATGAGCACCGTATAAATAGTGATATTTTTTTCCGGGCTACTGAGACAACCCTAAAGTAGGAATAACGACAAAGTGAATGAAGTTACAAACACGTATGAATAAATTAGGGCTTTCAACTCGGGAATTTCGGTCTAGACTTTTTCTTTTTTTTTATAATAACACGAACAAGTCTTGCGCCTAATGGTAAGCTATACGCCTCTCCATAACAGTTGCAGTGCCACTCAGAGCTTTAAATCGCAAAGATCTGAGGGGCACTGCCACTGCGCCCGCCCGATACCCTGAGACATAAATTTAACAAGTCCCCTTTGCCTGTAACCTTACCCTTCAAAACCGGAACACGGTAATGCTGACATTACTGCTTGGCGACAGAAATAAGTTAGGCTAAAGGTGCTCTCTATATGAAAATACATTAAACACCCCTTGTTTCTTACCCAGCGAACATAAAACGTTCATAAATAATGTTTTATCTATATAATAAATGCCTAGTCTACAAAATAAGTAATACTCGGCCAAATTAAAATTTGATCGAGTATTACTTATTTGATAGTATAATTGTTTCGAACGGACGTCGAACGGAGAACGAGAGTTGGAAAAGTTTCGTTTTTCACGGCATTTTCGAGACCGCATCGATGTCGATATTTATTTCCGGGAAAACCATAGTATAATGATACAATACAATATCGACGGTGAAAATTGGAAATGTCGTAAGGGACATTTTGTCCTTTGCGATACACAACTGGCCGATCGAAAAGTTTTGACATTATAAATCGGAACAATAGTTGATTTAACTCACAAGTTAGAAAGATATAGTAGGAATCAGGTTCATCTTCTCGCTCAGAAACCCATCTGATTCCGATTTAAATCAAAATCAGCATGCTGACAACAAAATATATCTCAGGACTTTTTCAAAAATTTCAAATTTGCACCGTCGATATAAGGCTAATAATTTCGTGTGAAAATTGTGAAACAAAAAATGTATCCACATTTTGTAGTAAGGGACATTTTCCATTAAGATGAAATCTTCCTTACGACATGTCAAATTTCTACCGTCGATATGGTAACTCCATACAAACATAGCAGCGTGACTTGTATGTGTGCGCACCTGACGCGTGCCGTGTACGGAGGCACACATTCGCATAATCTCGCAATGCAGTCGCGTTGCATAGTTAGTGGTAGTGATAATAATAATAAAAATAAACTTACAGATGTTTACATCGCCGAAGACAGCCTGCTTGTAAAGGGAGTAGAGAGCGAGGTTCTCGCTATCGGAAGGCTTCGACTTCCAGTTCCTTACGGAGTCGGCGACGGTCTTGAATTGCTGTAGAAATATGAGACAATTCGTTGAACTAATGTATCATGACCGATGATAACCTAGTTGGAGAAGAGTGATGACTCTATGATGGTGTAGCTACATACTCGCTAACGGTGAAAGAAAACATCGTGATCATGATGATGTAAATAGCCCTTAAGCTAGCCCTCCCTACTGATCTCTCTTACTTATTGAAATAAACCATAGATAACATGTCACTGTTTTTCAAGAATAGTGGCTTAAACCAAAATAGTTCATGTTTGTGTTACAATACGGGTGCATTCAAATTGTGCTAAAATTTTGTTGTAAAAAAACAACAAGTTTTTTATTGGTTAAATAAAATAAACAAGTGAGAACATGGACTGGTGTGTGATTCGTCGATTTTTTTAAGTTACATGTGCTTCAGTTATTTCTAAGCCATTATCGTTCTGATGAATTGAGTTGATTTTGAGATAAGCCACTATTCTAGAAATAAGATTTATAATGAATATCACGAACACTGGAGCCATCGCTCTTACCAACAGACTCGGTCAATACTGCCGTCGTCGTCATACTAACGCACTTATATTTCGGTAACCGTCGAGATATTGATATCGTTTTTTTTTTGTGTAAAAAAATGGCGATTACGCTGATTTCGCTTAACAATAAAAACTGAATTATTGAGATTTTTTGTGATAAAACTCCATAAGTTTTTATTATGATTAATTAATACATAAATCGAACACAAAAAAAATCCTTAGACCCGATGGGTCTTGGATTCACGACCATATTGCATCATAGCATTGCTCTTACCAACTGAGATACTAAGAGATTTTTTTATTTATTTTTTAATGATCAGTAGGTGTTACTAGCGGCATAGAATGCCGAAAAATACAGTACAAAGATTTTTAACAAAAACATAACAGAATTTCGAAAACTAGATAACTTGACCCATAGGGTCGGCGAAAAAAAATACAGATACCTGTGTAATCCTAATAAAACTGAAACTAAATACGATATAAAAAAAAAAACCGCTTATAAGGGGTTGTAGATCTCGTTTCGCTGATTCCAGATATGTGAATCACTTAATTTCGGTAGAAATGTCGATTACGAAATACTTTCATAGCTAAAAAGTCGTTGAAAACCCAATACAAACATCCGACAACAAGCACAAATACAAAAATTCGTGAGGTGCGCTGGTTCGTTCCGTGACTTAGCTGGCATAGCGTCTGCCACGGTTTGCTACAAGACGTCGGTTCGAATCCGACCTGATCGAAGGATTTTTTTCTAAGTGTTCGATCTAATTATAACAAACTAGTGTAGTAATTTCATTAAAAAAAATTAAATATCAATTCAACACTGGATTTTTTTCTTTTTGTTGCTTGACTTGTACCAATAATCATAGGTAACATAATTTTAAAAAAACTCGAAAATCGTTAAAAAAGGAAACAAATGACTGTCATATTAAATTGTCAACTTACCTCTTCCAGAGACATTGTGAATTAGTGGTCGTTTAGAGATCTGTAACAAAGAAAAATCGAATCAATTACTTACATACATACATACATATACTTCACGCCTTTTTCCCATCGGGGTAGGCAGAGACAACAGTTTTCCACCTGCTACGGTCCTGACAGACATCTTTCGCCTCATCAACACGCATCAATGCTTTCATACACGCTCGTCGGTTAAGGGTACTCTTGACCTGGCCCTTCTTTAGGATGGCCTCAATTTGGTCATGATAAGTTCTCCTTGGTCGGCCCATACCAACTTGCCCACTCACACTCGCCTTATAAATCTGTTTCGTCACTCTTCTTTTATTCATTCTCTCTACATGTCCGAACCATCTAAGCATCCCTTTCTCTATCTTTGTCACTATATCTTCTTCCACGCCGCAACGCTCTCTTATCACACTGTTCCGTAATTTATCCATCCGAGTCACTCCAGCCATACTCCTCAAAGCTCTCATTTCTACTGCATTAATTCTGCTTTCATGCTTCTTCTGCCAAACCCAACATTCACTACCATACATAAGTGTAGGAACCAGCACCCCCCCATGCACAGCCAATCGTGCCTTTTTAGACACTTTCTGGCTGCCCATGAAGGTATGCAAGGCACCATTCACCTGATTCCCTGCGTTCACTCTTCTTTCAATGTCTCTTTCACATTTTCCATCACACGTAAACATAGAACCCAAATACACAAACTCTTTCACTTGATCCACTTTCTCTCCTTCAATCAATATCGTGCAAATCGTCATATCTTCCTCTCTTTCAAAAACCATTACCTTTGTCTTTCCCACATTAATTTTCATTCCTCTCCTTTTTAGAGCACCATGCATAATATTTACCATCTCCTGCAACTCCTCCACTGACGACGCTAATACCACCTGGTCATCGGCGTATAGGAGGCACTTAATGAGTAAACCATTCATTCTCAGCCCATACGTACTCTCTTTCAAATCTTTCAAACAATTGTCCATAATTAGGTTGAACAGCCATGGCGACGCTACACATCCCTGTCTAACACCTTTCCCGATATCAAACCAGTCAGTGTAAGCACCATTTATTCTGACACAGGCACTGGAAACCTCATAGAGAGATTTCAGTGCCTGAATTAGACTGCCGTCCACCCCATACATAGGCAAAGTCGACCACAATTCTTTCCTTGACACTCTGTCGTAGGCCTTCTCCAAGTCTATAAAAGCGCAATAGACTTTTTGTCTTTTAGCCAAGAACTTTTCGGATATGTTTCGCAAGGAGAAGACCTGATCCATGCATCCCATTCCTCTTCTAAATCCCGCTTGCACGTCCCAAATTTTTTCTTCCGTTTCTTTCATCACTCTCTCAATCAATACCTTTGCATATAATTTGCCGACAATACTAAGAAGACTGATTCCGCGATAATTTTTGCAGTCTTGCTGCGACCCTTTTCCCTTATATAATGGTATGATGACAGCCTTGCCCCAGTCTCCTGGCACTCGGCCGCTTGACCAACAAAGGTTGAAAAGGCGGTACAGCTGACTAGCGACCACACCCTGTCCAGCCCTCAGCATTTCAACAGTAATTCTGTCATATCCCGCTACATATCAATTACTTAATGTTTGAAAACTAATCAGATGATACAAATAAATATACCGAAATGTCACACGTGAAACCAAATGCTGTCTTAAGTCAAATATTACGAAATTGAGAAAAAACGATTTAAATATTCCAAAAATATTGAGAGTCGTATTCTAGAACTCTATTCAATGCTCAAGTCAGGATTGCACTGGCAACACAAGCACTGGAAATACGACCCTAATGGCAGGGACTTGAGTATGATATCAAGTGCTTTAAACCATCCTCAAATCCTAACTTGAGCATTGAGTAGAGTTCTAGAATACGACCCTGAAACTCGTTAAAACAGGGTTATTTGTAAAATGCGACCAACCTCTCATGAATGTTTTTACGTACATCTTAAACAACAACTTTTCTTACATAATTTTTTACAAAACATAAATTTACCAAAAATGAAATTTTAAGTCTTTGTTGCACCATCGGACACATTTTTTTTTATTGTATTTTTTCTTTTGTGCGTGTGTGTGTGTCTGTGTGTATGTATGCGATTACTCCGGCATTCTGATGATTCTTTTTTGTTGGAAAGATGCCCATCTCAGTATTGGTCCCATTTAAATTTGAAGGAAATATTCCACCGGAAAATATTCCGGTAGCTGATTTCAATAAATCTTAACAAATACATGTAATTCCACGTACTTGTGAGGGCGGTTTTTTTTTTCATAAAAAAAGTTATAATTAGAAAAATGTATAATAAGATTCATTCAGCATTTTTTTAATTTTCAAATTGAGTTTTCTCAATTCCAACACTTTTGAGTAAATTAGTTATTGGTTTCCGTTCATAGTTTTTGTAGTAATTTTTACAATGTTCCAACTCTCGTTTCAACAGAAGTTATCCATTTGAAATGCGCGCGCGCCGTCCCGTAAGCAACATTCCGCAGGTTCAATGACCGGGTTGGCAGCAGCGGAAACTAGAGCTCATAGGCACTTTCCAACGTACGTGTTACGTAGAATGACTGGAGATATCTAATAAAAGTCGACATTGACCTTCGATTAAAAATTTCACTGCGAGACCGGTGAAGACGCCTATTAACATTCAATGAATACTTTATTGCTGATTAAATAAATAATGAATAAACCACACACTCTTAGCCTCGCACTAAGGAAACCCTATATCTCGGGTGCCATGGACAGACACATAGACAACCACAAATTACATCCAAACTCATGAGAGAAATAAATGTAGGCCATATAAATATTTCTCTCGACCCGGGAATCGTACCCCGGACCTCTGCGTGGCGGTTTATGCTGTTACCGAGCGGATAGCACTGTCCTATAACACATAACTCAACACTTCAAGTTATATCTCAGGGTGCAAAGGCAGTGCCCCTCAGAAAGCTAAACGCCTGTCCATAACAGTTGCAGTGCTACTCAGAGCTTCAAATCGTAAAGATCTGAGGGGCACTGCCACTGCACCCGTCACCCTGAGACATAAGTTGCCAAGTCCCATGTGCCTGTAATTTCACCAGCACCCTTACCATTACTGCTTGGCGGCAGAAATCGGTAAGGTGGCAGTACTTCCCCGGACGAACTCTTTCACAAGGAGCTCTACTGCTTACAAAATTACTATCGTTATCTTAAAAATATCAAAATAATACGGCGAATTATTGAAGTAAGAAAAAGAAAAATTTCGTAACATATGAACATATGTCATCGCTAAGGGCTTTAAGAAACGTACTATTTACCGTGTTATTTAACAACTAAATCAGTTGGATATAATATTTTTTAAACATTACCCATTCGTACTATTGTTATAATAAGGCCACATTGTGATCATGTATCAAAAGTGCTTTTATCACATGATAGTCATAAAAATGATGAAACAAATTATATCATATATGCATGCTTCACCGTCGACCTCATCATCACTTTCCATCAGATGAGATGGAGGTCAAATGCACACTTTATATTTTCATAAAAAACGATCTATAACTCTTTAAACATAATGAAGTTATTCACTAATTTCTCTTTTCTGAAAAGTTGTTTGACAGATGTGGCCTTATTACACCAATGGTGCTATATTAGGTTTCTTTATAAACAAGTATTCACGATTTAGAACCGGAAAGAATAGTTTCATATCTAATGTGTAGTTTATTTTTAATAATAAAATTTCATTTATTAAGGTTACATGGACCTATTTAGTAACAGTTACCTACACTTAAATACTAATAAAAATTTCCGTACCTGAGAAGCATTACACTGTAAGCGCCATTTTTGTAATTTTACGGGGGAAGCGATTTTATGTCGAAAATAGTCTGTACGACAATTAGGGTAGCTCTAAATGTTGTTAAAACTCAATTAGTTTTATTATATATGTTTTATTATTATATTTTAAAACATTTATTTATATTATATATGTATATATATATACAAATAACTCAAGTCCCTTTTGAGGCGTATACAAGGGTCTTATATACCTAAGAATTATTGTAGAATTATTGTTGCTGTACAAACTGTGTTTAAGACGTACAGCCATCGAGTATATAACCAGAAATAGAGACGAAATAAGGGCTATATATTCCTGGTAACTCATCACTTATAAATATCTACTCTTGTTTGCACTGAAATATAGACAGCGCCAACAACTGACCTATGTGTACATTCCTAAAATATTTTGTATTTATTGTAATAAACATAATATCTCTAACAATGGCGTGCTGTTCCATTCGGTGGTGTGGGTAAAAACAGCAAAACATCTAATTACAAAACAAACGGGACCAAATTTCATCGGTAATTAAATATGTAATTTTGCAATTTTCGTCCATTATAGCAAAGCTCAAGTTAACTGGTCGATTTGAAGTGACACTATTGATGACATCCATTGACGTCAATTGTTTCGAATTCGGGCTGGCCAATCGGAGTGCAGTAGTCACAGTAATGATATGGCAGAATAGTTTTCAAACAAATTAAATGATATTTCGTCTCTATTTCTGGTTATATACCCGATGCGTACAACGCTGTATAATTTAATACAACACTGTAAATCACAATAAAAATATAAACTCGTGTACTAATAACCTAAATAAGTCAAGATCTAAGTTTGTACATATAAAAACAAAATAGCACTCACCGTAAAGTGAAACCTGATGGGGACCGATGAAGTACTGATAATTTTGCAGCCGGCTCTCTCGTTAAATTTCCACGGTGCGAGTCGAAATTTCGGACATCGCTCAGGGTTGAACATCACTAGTTTTAAAAATAATATTTTAGAATTATATATTATTATGAAGCCAACCGGACTTAACGCCAATGATTTGGTTTTATGGAAAAATTAAAAATAATTCTAAGTAGACTGAACATCCTTCTGGGGTTTGTTCCGGTTTGGAAGGATACGGGTGAAATTACAGAGTTTTTTCAAGGCGCGAGTAAATAGGTATTATACTAATCGTCAATTTCAAATTAGGTGAGGCATAATTTAAATGCTTGGTACTTTAATCATAAAAAGGAGGTTTAGTGAAAAAACTAAAACACATAAACTAGGATTCCCGCCCAGCATAACTTGGTTTCGGTTTTCTGTTTTGGCTTGGTTTCCGTCGGTGTCCCGTCAGGCAACAAAATAGGTAAGGTGGCAGTACTTCCATGGACGAACTCTTTCACAAGGAGCTCTACTGCTACTAAATAATAAATCGTATTCTTCAAATACGACGCAAAATGCTGATCATCCACACCGCACCATCTTTTATCAAAATTAAAGTGCCAACCCTAACTTAAGCCGTTGTAAATTCTTATTAAATTTATCTATCTTGTAATAAAACACGCACGTACAACTTATCATTAAAGACTTAGGTACAGTAAATTTGGTTGGACACCCCGATAACATTATGTAATTAGTATCTGTTTCCATTCGACGTAATTCTCACTGCAGGAGACTAATAAATACAAAGTAATACTTTTTAAATCAATCGGAAAAAAGATGGATTCACACATTGGCGCGAGTTACGTATACTATACCGCGCTAAACATTTTGGAAGCAGAGATTTTAATAGCAGTGGAGCTTCTTGTGAAAGCGTTCGTCCAGGTGCCACCTTACCTATTTCTGTCGCCAAGCAATAATGTGAGCATTACTGCATTCTAGTTTTGAAGGGACTTGTCGATTTATGTCCCGGGGTGACTGGTGCTGTGGCAGTGCCTCTCATATCTTTGCGATTTAATGCTCGGGAGTGGCACCACAACTGTTATGGTCGGGCGGCGTAACTTACCATCAGGTGCATGACTTGTTCGTCCTGTCACTTGTATTAAAAAAAAAAGATATCCTATATATATATATATATATATATATCAAAACCCAATCAACCCGCCCGGGTTTTAACCTGGTTTTTACCCAGAGCGATGGGTATTAATCCATTTCTGTCCAAAATCGAGGGCGGAAACGGTGAATACGGAATTTGGTTTAATTCTACTCATTACAAATGTAAAAATCTTTTTATTATACGAAAAAGAGGTAACTCCATACAATACTTGTGTGGAGTATTAGTAGTTTAGTGTATTTATTTGAATGCCATGTAAATAGATCCAAAAACAATTAATTAAAAGCAAATACAATCGTTTACACCAGAAGCTATAAACATTTTGTAATAGTATCATTAAACTTTAACAAACCTCGATTTACAACAAATATTTATCGAGTTCTTAGGTTTTCGCGATTGTTAGGTACACATAGGAAATGAAACTATTATTCCGGATTTAAATCGTGTATATATTTGTTTTTTCAAACAAACTAACGTTTGAAAAAACGTCAGTCTACCTTGACCATCGGACCTGTAAGGGCCCGAAACGTTGGTTTGTTTAAAAAAAACAATTAAATCCGAAATAATAGTTTCATTTCCTAACAAATATTTAGTTGTAAATTGTTTTTGCCCTCAATTTCGGGCATTAATGCGTTTTTGATGCCGGTTTAAGATATAAAGCGCCGGGTTAAAACCCGGTCGCCTGCTCACCTCTATTTGTAAGTGAATAAATGAATGAAATATTCTTTATAGCACATTAAAAATTACAATAACAGCACAGAACAGTAATGCAAGAATCACAGAGTAAGCTAATATACAACAGGCGGACTTATTGCTAAGTTGCGATTTCTTCCAGGCAACCTTAGGGTAGACATTTAAGTTACGTACAACAACTATTACGTCGTTTAGTGACTTTTGTTACGTAGGAGAGCGCTATTTGGCCATACAAAATCTTAATAGTGACGTCCTTGCTCTATAACATATCAAAATATTGAATCTCTAGCTACACACAATATCGAAATTTCACAGGATAAGTAAACACGACTCACACATACCAATGATCACTGGCATACACGCGCAACGTCGACGGGTGGTTTATCTAATAGTTTGTTGACGTAGACGTTTATTGACGTCAGAGTCATTATTTGTTACTTTCATTTTCTTAGCCTGTAGAACAAACTAATTAATAGATAATTAACTGCCTCAGTGGCCGAACGGTTACCATGCCGGACTGCCACGCAGAGGTCCCAGGTTCGATTCCCGGGCCGGGAGAAATGTTTGTATGGCTTACATTTATTTCTCTCGTGAGTTTGGGTGTAATTTGTGGTTGTCTATGTGTGTGTCCATGGCACCCGCGACACAGGGTTTCCCTAGTGCGGGGCTATGTGGTGTGTGCGTTAAAAAAAAAGTTTCTAATTAATAGACTAACGCGACAGAAACTTACATCTAACATATGTCGTGGATGAGTTATAGTAAATACACACACCGTCACACGCACACACAAACACACACGCACGTTCTTTAATTAGAATCTATTAATTAGTTTGTTGTAGAAAAATTAAAAATAGAATTGTATAAAGGAAATCGGTGAATAAGTATGTGTGTATATGTATGCGTTTTATATATACACTCACACACACATCACACTCCTAGTAGCATAACTGTGCTCAAGTTTTGAAGTGCTGGTGAAATTACAGGCACGTAGAACTTTGTGTATCTTACGTGGGGTGCACTATAAGTATCCGGAATGAATAAGAAAAAAGTACTATAAATGGTCAGAAATGAATTTATTGTTTCTCAAAATTTTTCTCCGTTAGCGTTAATGCACATTTTCATTAGAATTAACCAATTTTGAAAACATTTATGCCACTCCGCCGTGACAATCTCTGAAACATATTTTTCATACTTTTCGACAGCCTCTTCAGGTGATGAAAATCGTTGACCGCGTAACTGGTTCTTAATTTTTGGAAATAAATAAAGTTCACAAGGTGCCAGGTCGGGACTGCACGCGGGATGGCTCATAAGGTCAACGTTGTTCACCTTCAAAAATTCATTTGTCTGTCTGGCCGTGTGAAAACTGGCATTATCGTGGTGCAAGATGATACGGCGTTTATGGTTATTTTTACGGAGTTTATCAATAACTCCCGGAACACAAATGGTCGTGTACCAATCACTATTCACGGTACAAGGATTCTCCAAATCAACAGTAGCCACGTGTCCAGTTTTATTAAAAAAAAATCATCCGTTTAGAGGCACTTTGCACGCGCGCCACTTTGGTTGGTTTCGGCTCATCTCGAAAGACCCATACGCTCGATTGCTGCTTTGTTTTGGGATCGTAAGTATAAATCCATGTTTCGTTACCTATTACTATGTCCCACACCAAATTTGACGCCCCTTCGTTCAATCTGGTAAGCATGGCATTGCACCAAGTGACGCGATCCGTTTTTTGAGCTTTAGTCAAATTGTGTGGGATCCACCGAGAGCATAGCTTTTTCACACCCAAATATTTGTGTAATATTGATTGTATTTAACTCAGGCCTATGCCTAAAGATGCCCGAATCTCGTGGTATGTCACATGCCTGTTTGTTTTGATCATACGACGCACAGCATCGATGTTTTTGTTGTTCACAGCAGTGGCCGGACGACCATCACGAAATTCGTCACTGGGATTCACACGACCGCGTTTGAATTCTGCAAACCAGCTATAAATAGTCGGCTTACGTGGTGCTTCATCACCAAAAGCAGTTTGAAGCCGAGCGAAGCTCCGCTGAGCTGTTAAATTACACTTAGTTGCAGAAAATTATACTACGAAAATTTTCACGAGTTAAATCCATGGTGAGGTTGTCTACAACCAATTTCTAAAACGACACCACAATGTGAAAACAAGTGACAGTCAGATGAAACAAACTGTATTCTACAGCCAAAGAGTTCCATTTGCAAATGTTATAATTACTTTTTAAATATTGTTTATGTAAGTGGCCAGTTCCGGAAACTTATAGTGCGCCCTATGTATTCATTGTTTCGGTGGCTGTGTGACGTTTACGAAATTCAGCCGTTAAGTGGCCAGCTCGATCATGTGATTTAATACCGCTGGATTATTTTTTATGGGGTATATACGGAGCCAAAATTCGAGAAGTGATTAACGAAATAGACGCACCATTTTGTCAAAAAGTGATTAAAAACTTTGATGAAAGAATCGACATCTGTAACTGTGGTCATGGTGGACATTTATCAGATATTATTTTTCATTCATAATTGGCACACCTTATATTTTTTAATAGAAAAAAATCTGAATCATTGACATCTAAATTTATTGTTTTATTTTGATTTACAAAACAATGTTCTTGTTGAGTACACTCAGATAACATCTCGGAAAAAAAAACTGACACATCAGAAGATTACAAGACTCGTATATGTCTCAAATATTTCTATTAAAACCCCGTTAAACCTGTTTACAACGCTTGTGTACCTAATTAAATTCGAGATAAGGAAGTGTATACAAGTAGAACAAAATTACGTGTACACCTGTAAAGTCCGTTTTATAGTAACGTCTAAAAATAATTTACACATTTAAAATATGGTATCTGCCTTAAACCCAAATCTTATCAATGTTAGAGATACGGTGCATCATCAAGTGTTTGCCAAAAGCTTAAGTGGCTTGACATTTGAAAAATTGTGCAATCAGTGACACCACACCTCCACCACTCCCTATTTTTTAAAGATTTTACGAACATACGAGTATTACTCGAGTCGATCGATTCTTTAAGATACCTAGTACTTATCTTCATGTAGTTAGCGGACTAACAGGTTAAAAAACTAATAGACTTAGGATTATACTAAATCCACAATGGTTCAACGTTAAGCAAATGGAAGAATATTTACTAATTACAAGTCTCTCACCACGGTATAACTTCGCACTTTTAATATAATAAAGCCACATCTGCAAATTG